TATATATATATATATATATATATATATATATATACACATATATATATGTTTGAGATAGGATCTTAGCATACACATTAAGATGTCCTGGAGCTCACAAAGGTCTTTTTACCTCTGTTTGCCAATTTCTTGGATTAAAGTTGCATGCCACTATGCTGGGAGGTAGTGTTGCACTCAGGAGGCAGAGGCAGGTGGATCTCTGTGAGTTTGAGACCAGCGTGGTCTATAAGAGATTGTTCCAGGACAGCTGCCAAAGCTACACAGAGAAATCTGCCTCAAAAAAACAAACAAACAAAAGAAGTTGCATGCCACTATGCCTGACTGTTTTGTTTTTGAGAGGGACATTAGATGTATTGTCTAGGGTGGCTTCAAAGTCACCATTGCCCTGTGTACCATAGTATCAGTGAAAGTGCCACAATGAGAGTGATTGTAAATCTTATCATTTTAGAGGATAAACAGTATTTTCTATCTATTATGAAAATATTTGCTATTTGGAACCATGATGAAAGAAAAATCTTTATAGGGAGGGAAAATTTAAATAAATGTCTGCTTCTTTCTTCATGAATTATACATGTTTCATAAGTATTTTTAAATTTTACTAGGTTTTATTCCCTGTTTTTGTTTGTCTTTGCTTTAAATGGTTCTGCTTTCAATATCCCTATGGCTAAAAGTTTGTACATCTGCCTGGGTACTTCTGTAAAATAGATTCTCAGAAGTAAAATTGCTGTGCCAAATTGTCTGAATCATATTTAGGAGCCTAGAGCATCTTTCCAGATTGAATTTCAAGAAAATGTTAATCATCTTGTTTATAATGACCTTTGCTAGCATAATTAAGGGTCATTCACCTACATCTTAGTCCAAACTGGGTATTTTGTTTTCCAATTTATTCTTTTTAATTCTTTGCCAAATATGTAAGGAAAATGGAATGACAAGCAGATATTTCTTTTATTAGGGGAAAAGGTCTTTCCCATTGCTTGTATGCACATCTTTTCTTATGTAATGAAGCATCATTAGCCTAACATTCCAAGATCTTTGAGTCCCTGAGCTGCACTGTTTCAGAGGATATGAAATATATTTTCTGAGTAGTTTAATGTCATTGGGTCCTAGGGCCTGGGTCTGTTGTTTCTCTGCTTTGGAGTACATTCTAACATTGGAACTAAAGGAAATTTCAAGTCCCCACTACCTAAATAAGTAGGTAATCCAGCCTAACTGAGGATTTGGTGTGAAGTTAGGAGGGCATAGTAATTAGCAAGACTCAACACATAATTTTCAATAAGGAAGATTGTTTGCAGTATACATCATCCACTATATTTATTTTGTTGTCAATTTTTATTGTCAGGGGTAGAGCCAAGCAAGTAACAATTTTTGGAACCCCAAAAGACTTACAATTGAAATTTTATTATTTTACAAATTGAATGTGTTTAGGTTGCTAGAGAGTTGTGTATCTGTAAATCATTTATATTTACCTATTTTTGTACTGGGGCAGTAATTAGAGTAATTTTATTTAAATGTTATCTTCAGTTAGGTATTCAGCCTTATTGTACCATGTTATTATTTTATTCTCTGAGGATTTATTCATACACACATACATACACAGAGAGAGAGGGAGGGAGGGAAAGAGTGAGAGAGAGAGAAATAAAGAGTGAGAGAGAGAGATTATATTATTCTTTGTAGTGTCTATTTTGTTTGCAACCATTTGCTTTTAAAGATAATGATAGAAACTAAGTTTTCAGTCTGATGAATCAAGCCTAATATGATTAAATGTTTAGAAGATACTTTTGGAGTAATTTTCATATCTTTTTATAATATAACTTGTTGATTTCTTCTACTTTGATATAATTACTTGGAAACATCAAAGTATTTTTGAAAGATTATCCTAATTGTACATAATATGAAATATTCTATTATATAACTTAATATATATTTATCTCACTCGGGTTCAAACCTTATATTTTCAGTCTTCAACTGATAGCAGGACCATCATCATATTTGTTTATCAAGTGAATCTTGCTTAACTAGACTACAGTAATAACATTCAAAGTTTAGTTCAAATATCTGTATCATCATTACCTCAATATTTGTCCAGTAAGACAAATGAATTTCCATGTAAAATACAGTTTATTAAAAAAGATGAGTGTGGTACTAAAGAACCATAATCCTAACACGGGAGGATGAGGCAAGAGGATCTTCATTATCAATGTTAGCCTAGTTTACTCAGTGACATCAAGGCCAGCATGAACTATAAAGTAAAGCCCTACATCAAAAACAAAACCCAAACTGGAATAAAACAAAAGCACAAAAATTTCAAAAAAGCAAATTAAAAAGAGCTTCAGATCAATGTTAATTACTGGTCCTGTGGCTCTCAATTTCTCATACTTAAAGGGCAAGCTGAATAATGGTTTCTGATACTTCTACAGAATTTAACACTTGTGAATTTAACACTATGTTCTTCAGTATGTATTTCTCTACTTTATACGTAAATATTCAAAACTGTCCTTTTTATATATTTGTCCTATTCCATTTTCATTTTATTGCACTCTTAGACTCTATGATGCCCACATATACTTGTATTCTATTGGGTTTTTTAAGGCTTTAATTTTTTATGTGTCAGTGTTTTGCCCTCATGTATGTATGTGCATTTTGTGCACATAGTGTGTGTGTCAGCCAGAAGATGGCATCATATACCCTGATGCTAGAGTTACAAACAGTTTTGAGCTACTATGTGAGTCCTGGAAACAGAACCCAGGTGCTCTACAAGGGCAGCACATGCTCATAAGCACTGAGCTATCTCTCCAGGCCCTTGTTTTATTTTGTAAACATTTTCCCTTTTCTTTTGCCATTGAAAGTTTGTCTGATGATGCCTTCACTCTTTTAATGGCTATTATGAAAATCTAAGCATTTATAAATACTAAGGAGTGTAGTATTTTTTTTACTCTTTACTCTTTGAAGACCTACCACCCAGCTCCCAAATAAAAACTTAATTATTGAATTCCTGGCCTTAGCTTGGCTTGTTTTCTGGCCAGTTTTTCTTAACATAAATTAATTCATCTAACTTTTGCCTGTGTCATTTTACCTTTCTCTATTCCATGGGTCTTGCTTTCCTTACTCTGTTTTTGACTCTGTGCATGGGTGGCTGGGCCTTAATGTTCTCTCTCCTCTTTATTTTGATTCTCCTTTTGATTCTCCTCTTTATTCTTTCTGTTTGCTAGCCCCACCTATTTCTCTCTCCTGCCTAGATATTCACTGTTTCGCTCTTTTTTAGACCAAACAGGTGCTTATGGCAGGCAAAGTGACACCACTTATCAGAGTTAAACAAATGCAACACATCTTTGCATCATTAAAAAAATATTCCACAGCATAAATGAATGTAACACACCTTAGATTAATATTCCACAACAGGGGAGGGCCTGCAAAAAGTCAGGAGAGGGATACAAACATGATAAAATATTTTGTTAAAAATATTTAAAAAAGGGAAAAATATGCTCTTGCCTTTTCATTTTGAAATTGTTCTGTTTTACTTATGCACTGTTCATGGAACAGAGATTGATGATATCCAATTATGCATCATTTTGGTATATGATACCAAATATATATTCATTAGTATCCAAACATATATATTGTACTTTGAACATATCCCCATCATACACTGACTGCTATCCTCTCTTTTTTAGCACTCCCACCTGTTATTAGTTCTCTTTGTTCTTCTGGTCAATTTTCTTTGAGTTCAAGTCATATGAACATAAATAATTTTATGTATCCATATAAATTCTAAGACCCACAAGGAGACAAAATGTGATAGTTGTAATTTTGATACTTACTTAAAATATTTAATATGATTATCAGCAATTATATTTACTTTCCTGAAAATTACATAATTACATTCTACTGTATGGCTAAAAATTTTATATGCATGTATGTATAGATAGATATCAAATATATTAAATTTTCTTCATCCATCCTTATATTGATTGGCACATAGATTCATTCTTTCCATGGCTACTTTATCATGAATAAAGTTGCAATGAACCTAGATATGCTAGTATCCCTGCACTGCATTGACATGAAGTCAGTAAAATAACCTAGCCAACAAATGACCAATGAAATGACAACATGTTTCTCAAAAAAATTATGGTGCTCACTTCAGCAGTACATATTACTTAAATTGAAATGATGCAGAGAAGATTAGAATGACCCCTGTACAAGGATGTCATGCAAATTCATGAAGTGCTCCATAGTTTTTCCAAGATGAGTCCCAAATGAGGGCCCAATATTGACAGTTTACAGAAACCAGAGGCCTTGAATCAGACCAATGACTCTTTTCAATAACTTCTTGCTCACAAAAATACATGGGCAAAAGGCTTACTGCATGATTTTCTATGTTACCATACAGCTTTCATGATGACAGCGTTCCTTATTTCTATTAAATCTTATTTTATTTTATTTGGGGAGGTTGCAAGGGCAAAGGACAGATAAGAAGGGACAGAAAATGAATGGCATTGAAATGCATGATGTGAAAGATACAAATAATAAATAAAAAGGAAGTCAAAACAACATAAACTATGTACAAATAGCCATTTAATATGTAAAAATTTCAACATCAGTGGTTATCAAAAATATTCAAATTAAAACATTATTGCAATTCTATTTCCTCCCACTCATAATGGCAGTAATTAAGAAAACAAGAAAAATAATGGTAAGGATTTGAACAAAAGGAAACCCTTATGCACACCTGGTAGGTTGTAAATTAGTACAGCCATTCTGGAAATCAGTAAGTAAGTTCCTCTAAAATCTAAGAAAAGTATCACATGAATATATTACATGACCCAGCAATATTAATCTTGGAATTTTCCCAGTTGTCATTTTTCCTTTTTTAAAGTTGAATTTTTTATAATACATCATATGGAATCATAATTAATTAGTTCAAATAATTCAAGTTTGAAAATTAAGTTAATAAATTGCTGTTCAAAGTTGTTCCCATACCAACTCTTACTGATATCTAGTAATATTATTTAGCCAGTTTCCAAACACTGATTTCAACTATCCTTTCCTTTATCCTCTGTAGCTGAATAAATCAAAAACCATTTCTTTGATTGCTTACAAAGAATATTCTTTATCTTCTCTTCCATGCTTGTTGAGAGAACAGTAGTCAAAATACTCCTCACCTAACACAGGAAAATTCAATACATTAATTTCTGCCATATTTCCTGTTTGAAGAGCTATTTTTGCTGGTGAACTGAATTTGATCTATGGAACACAGAGAAAGTTAGCAGGAGAGAACCCACTCCATAAAAGTTGTCCTCTGATTTTCACAAGCTAGTAGATGTACAAAACTTTATCTCTGTGTGTGTGTGTGTGTGTGTGTGTGTGTGTGTGTGTGTGTGTGTGTGTGTGTGTTTCACACACAAGAATAATAAATATTTAAACCCAACTAACAATCTAAGCAGTAGTGTAGAGGCTACCTTAAATGCCTTTCTCTGATAATGAGATTGATGACTAACTTATATGCCATCCTAGAGCCTTCATCTTGCAGCTGATGGAAGCAGAAGCAGACACCTACAGCTAAACACTGAACTGAACTCCTGGAATCCCGTTGCAGAGATGGAGGAGTGATGAGCAAAGGGTTCAAGACCAGTCAGGAGAAACCCACAGAAACAGATGACCTGAACAAGGGGTTTCTCATGGACCCCAGACTGATAGCTGGGAAACCAGCATAGGACTGATACAGACCCCTGGAACGAGGATGTCAATTTGAAGATCTGGGCAATCTATGTGGCTTCTGGTAGTAGATCATTATTTATCCCTAGTACATGAATGGATTTCCGGAGCCCACTCCATATACAGGGATGCTCTCTCAGCCTACACACAATGGGGAGGGTCTAGGCCCTGCTCCAAATAATATGACAGACTATGAAGATTCCCCCATGGAAGGCTTCACCCTCCCTGGGGAGCAGAGAGGGATTGGGAATGGGGGGCTAGGGGAGGGAGAAGGAACTGGGATTGACATGTAAAAGAAGATTGTTTTAATCTAAAATTGATGAAATTACAATTAAAAAATAGAAGAATAAAAAAGCAAAGCACAATGATATATATATATATATATATATATATATATACAAATATATGTATAGGAAAAGCACAAAGATATATATGAAAATTATATTATATATGTTATACATATATAAAAGAAAGACATTACTTTGTCAGCAAACATTAATTTAACACATGCTAAAATAGTTTAACAAAACAAAAAGCAAACATTATTGATTTAATCCTGTTTCTAACATATTTCTATAACCTCATTTTGAATAGTATAAATCTAAGTACTGTGTCTAAATTCAAGAAGCAATAGAAAACATGTTGGTTGTAAGAAACCAAATCTGAATAAGGATCAGGTAATCATATGAAAAAAATTCTCGTTTTACTTTTTTGTTTATACTTGTGTCTTTTATCTAAAAACCAAGAGTAACTTCATATGAATACTGAATGTGTCAAATCATCATTATTAGTCTTATGAAAGTATGATTTCTTTAACCTTGCAAATGAGCTGTGAGTATGGTTTTGATAGAACATAACTAAGAATTTCTTGAAGTTAAAATTGATATGCCAACTGGTTAAAGACAAAACCTCACATGCTCTTCAGAGAGATGAAAACTGAATTAAAAGAGAATGCCTGCAGAGGTAAGCAAATGCAGCACACACTCTGGACTTTTACTATCTCCATTGGCTTTGGGCTTATGAACTGTACCTGAAATACTGGTGCCAGCAGGTAATTTTGATGCATGGGAAAATGAGTGTTAGGTTGCTCAGGATAAGTAATTAGGAAAGCAAAATTATATTCATAGTATTTATTCAGTGTATTGTTATAATGTAATTTCTGTTCTCGATCATTTGAAAAAGACTATTAGATCTCATGGAGCAACTCTCATGTGAATTTATTTTTCTTTGCCTTAGCCTTTCTGAAAAAGTAAAATTGTATAATTTTCAGACACAGTTTGCATTTATTACATTGTGTAATTCCTTTTTTCTTATGAAAGGAAGGTTTATCTTTAAAATTATTTAAATGGGGCTGGGGAGATAGCTTAGTGGATAAGAGAACTGGTTGCTTTTCTGACAGACTTAATTTTGTTTATCAGCACCCACATGTTGGCTAAAAGTGACTGTAACTCAGTTCCAGAGTACCCAACATCCACTTCTGGCTTCTGCATGTACAGTCATGCACATGGTGCACAAACATGCATGCACACAAAACACAAGTGCACATAAAGTAAACTTAAGCAAACCTTTAAACATAAAATTAGGTTATTTCATTGGTGCAGAGAGATTACTTAGTGCTTAAGAGCCCTCACTTCTCGCTTGGCGTTGGTGGCTCAAGCCTTTAATCCAGGCACTCAGGAGGCAGAGGAAGGCTGAAGGCTGTGAGTTCAAGGCCAGCATGGTCTACAGAGTGAGTTCCAGGACAGCC